TTCTCAGAGGCTGGACTGTGTTGCCTCACTGCTGGAGTGTTTGTGACTGTTTTCTCATGTCTGAGTTATGTGCCAGGCGGCGTTCATGGGGCCAGAAAGGCGGGGCATGCTGTGCCAATGGGGAATGCGTCCTTTGTCCCGTCGGCTCCCTCACTCTTGCTCTCTCCACACCGAGCTCCTACACATCTCACCTCGGCTCACCCTTTGCTTGGCCCCGCACAGGATCCCGGGCGTATCTATGATGCTGATGCTCTCCAGGACCTGGTTGGGCAACTGTGCGCATTGGAACCTAGAGGGAGGAGAGCAGAGAGCCAGGCACTGCCTCAGCGCTCAGACAGCCGGCATGCAACAAATACCCACCTCCTTCACATGGCGCTGTCACTCGTGGTAGATGAACAGAAAGCCTGCCTTTAAAGCATTTCTTAAATTAGCTTCTAAATCTCTGCGTGGCCCATGTGGGTAAAGAAAGAACATAATTGAAAGACCAAACTGTGACCTTAACCCCTCCCATCCAGGGCCATTGTGTTGGAACGATCCTGTCAATGCTCGCAGCTTCCTGAAGGAAAATGGCCGCCTGTGCCAGGACTAAACAATAAGCCCCACTAATGGTCTGCCGCCTAAATCAACACAGTCACATCCTGCCACAAACAATTTTAATGAGCAGCAAGTTTCCCCAAGACAGGACATATCAAAAGCAAGATCAGAAGTGCCAAGACATTGAGAACTGTAGAACAATGGTGTAATCTGCTCTACAGCGCTCCCTGCAGGGTATATATTGGTACTGCACTGAGTTTACTCTGGACACCGGCCTGTATATGCCCCAGTTGAGAAAAACAGATATGACTTCCTTATCTGATATACGGGAGGAACTGTTTTTTAAAGTGAGATTGCAAGTCTGTGAAGATACAGCTGGTAGCAATGATTGTAATGATTATGGACATTAACTGCCTTTAAGACCAGCTGCCCTGAAATGGACAATATTTCTTAGTGTTTAGTCATTTGGTATCGATGACACACAGCTGGAAAAAACTCCACGATGATCTCGGATGTGTCCCAACTGCAGCCATTTTTAAGACCAAACTTAAACCATCCTGAGCACAACACTTTCCCTCTTCAAATACTCTGTAATTTATTTTATTTCATTCTATGCAGTGTATTAGGTAACGCTTTACATTAACTGCATCTTCATAATGCCTTTATTATGCATTCGTAGAACTTTCAGTAATTCATAATTCATTATTAACATTATTAACATTATCAACATTCATTATTGCTGCTGTTTTCTCAAAGAATTTCCCCATTGTGGGATTAATAAAGTCTAATCTAATCTAATCTAATCTAATAAAGCATTCATAGAACATTCAGAAACAGCTTTAATATACATTATTAACAAACATCATCGTTTTAGTCTGTTGTTTGCATTGATTTTAAGCTGACCTGTATTTAATGATGTTCCTGTATTGTACTCAGACTTTGTTCCCTGTGTGAAATATGCTACACAGATAAACTGGTCTCCTGTGTGTAACCCTTTCTGACCTGACATGCCTGCATTGTTATGGTTGAGCCTAGTGACTTAAAGCACTGTAACGACACACAAAGGAAACGAATTGTCGTCACTCAGGAAATTTCAGAGATGATTTGTCCACAGACATGGTGTTTTTCCAACACCCCGTCTTAATGCTTTCTTTGTTTTTTTCCCTATTAATACATTACACTCCCCCACCCCCACCCCACAAATTCTAGCACACGGACTTAACATTCCATACGGCAAGAGTGACGTGTCTCTTCCTCACTCCCTCTCCTGTTCCCCTGTTTCCTTGCTGGCTTCTTCATGCCTGAGTTTGAGTGCGGAACGCGGGCCTCTCTCACCAGTCTCCCTCGCTCCCTCGCTCCTTCTCTTCCTCCTCACCTGTTGAGAAAGGTGTTCCCGAAGGGGTTGAGCTTGCGGAAGGGCTTGTTGGGATCCACGATGAGTGCATTTCCCGGGATGATCCCCTCCACCTCCCCATGCATGATGGCCGTGAAGCAATCGGTGGTGGGCTCAGGTCCTACCCGGCTCCCAGGAATGTCTTGCTCCAGGAGGTACCTGACGGGCAGAGGCACGCGGTATGGGAAGACCCCTTCTCGCAGAAGAGAGATCAGGAGGACTAGCTGGCTTGGATGTCAGTTCTGCGATAGTCAGAACATGACATACCTCTGGGCTGTTTCACATTACGTTCCCAACTTGTTCTGAATATACTGCATATCCTCCTGAGAGCTGTCGTCAAGCATAAGGACATAAACAGAGAGTGTGGTGCCCTACCTGATGAAGGTGGTCTTTCCTGTAGAGTACTGGCCCACCACCAGCACCATGGGCTTGTTGTCGAAATCGGCGTCCTCCAGGCTCGCTGAGTGGAAGCTGTGGAAGTCATAGTACTTCTCCAGGGGCAGCAGCTTCTTACGATACAGCGACTTGAGGCCTTCCGTCACCGTCCGGATCACCTCCGGCGTCTTCCGGTTCTTGTCATCTCTTCGACCCCAGCGAGACATGGCGATCGGGTTACAGCACCACAGACCGCGTGGACCTTCTCCCAAATTCTTCTGTGCCTGAGGGCCAGCCGCTTGACCCTCTGTTACTTCCTGTTTGGTCTCTCGGCGCTTCTCTGGTACGAGGGCTGGATGTGGAGCTCGTGTGGATGGGTGGCTCTCTTCTGCGTAGATGTCACCGGGCCTGAAAGAAACACGTAGACCATGCAGATATGGTGGCCGCTCTTCAGTGCTGAAGTCATGTGCAACCTGACAGGCTGTGTAATCCCACAATCCCCTGCCAGGCGAAGACCACCCTTCCAGCCCCTGTGGAATGTGCACAGCCCCCCTTCAGGAAGTGTCAGATGCGGGCCCTGCACATCTAACGGCCACCATGTGACACCCGCCCACTTTTCCACACATTATGTACAGTCTGTGATCTGACCCCCCCCCCCCCCACCCCAAGCAACACCTTTATGCAAAATATTCAGCAACACGACAAAGACGCAGCGGAGAGAATCTGGCTGCTGAGAGCCTCTGGGGGTCCAGGACGCCATATCTGTCCTCTGCTCTAAGGCTCGTTTAAACACAGAGGCAAAGAGTAAACAAATACACTGAAAAAGAGCAATTCAGCTCGAAATAGTGCTTCTGGCGAAGGCCCTGGGGAAGAGTCAGGAGATCGAAGAAGGTGGAGTGGAAAGAAATCATGGAAAATGCTATGTTAGCCCAGATATGGACGTGTAGGGGTACAGCAGCCAGGGCGTTCATCATACACTCCATAATCCCCACTGCCTTATAAAGACAGGTAGCATAGTGCTTAAGGCAGTGTTTGCCAGTCCAGTTGTCGGGGACCCCCAGGCAGTCTACGTTTTTGCTCCCTGTCTGGCAGGGAGCTGGGAGGGAGCAAAAATTGGGAATGTCTGTGAATTCCCAAGGACCGGGTTGGGAAACATTGGCTGAAGGACATGGGCTTGTCACCGTGAAGGTAGCTTGCTTTATATTATCTGAAACCCTCCTGCTCGAAAAATGCATAAAGCCATTTTGGGTGGAATCATTACCGAAACGAGTGTGTAACTTCGTGTTGAAGGTTCAGTGGTCAGCTCCTTCACAGGCCAGACTGCGTGGCTGGCAGCTCAGCACTCGAGCAAAGGAGTACCAGGCACAGTGACGCAACCAGGCGTCGGACACGCTTCAAAATACCACAGAGGTTTTCCCTGTTCAACACACGGGGGAGTGTGGCGAGGTCGGAAACTCCTCGCCTATCCGTGAGCAGAACTGCATCGTGCTGTATTTAAGAACATATTGATAATCTTCTACATTTTTTCCCAGCCACATATACATGTATACTATGAAAAATGGACCCCCAGCAGAGAGAGCTGGTGCGGGTTAATCAGAGCACTTATAACCAGGCATTTTCAGCGGGATTTACAGTATACATCTCAATTCAGCTTCTGCAGATCATCTCTTCGCTTGGAATCACATGCAAGGAACAGCTCCTTCAGCAGACAGCCCTGAGGTGGCCTGGGGGACAGTTATACCCTCTAAACACTGACAAAAACAGATTTCCTACCTGTGGATGAAGATTCAAAGGATTCCCAGGAACACTGTATAAAAACGAAGGTAAATAAGAGGCTTGCTTGGACGGTTCTCCTGTTGATCTGTGGGAATGCAGAGGAGCTGCAGGTACTTGTCCGGATTTACACCTTAGAAGGTATCAGTGCAGATGAACCTTTATGTTGGAGGGATTTCTTTTCCTACAGGGAGTAATCAGTTTCAGCTGATCTCCCTGCCTTGTGGCGCTCCTCTTCTGGCTGGAAGACCAACGTAAACACAGACCGCAGAACTGCACTCGCTCCGGCTGGATCTCTCTCTCGCTCTCTCTTTCGCACTCACTCTCGCTGTTCCCTGATGAATTCTTTTGGGCAAGCCCTGGAAAATCTGTAGCATAGGTTTAAAGTTTGAACAAAGTGGGGAGGGGAAGTGGTTCTGCTTTTTTTTTTGTTTGGGGGGGGGGGGGGGGGGGCCGGGGGGGGGGGGGGGGGGG